AAAAAAAAAAAAAAAAAAAAAAAAAAAAAAAAAACCAACAAAAAAAAAAAAAAAAAAAAAAAAAAAAAAAAGAAAAAGAAAAAGAAAAAAATATCCTATTTTGTCTTTGTTGCCAGAAATCCGTGTAGTGTCAGACACTCCGAATGACTGTCAAGTATAAATTCTTCTTCCACTCCATTTTTGGCAGCTGTTTGTTAAGGCATCTAATAACAGATGTGAGACCTGTAACCTGTGCCGTGTGTACGTGTCCCTGGCTGTCGTCCATTGCGGTTTCCATGTGTGTTTCTATATGCAGTATATACTAAGCTAATGTAGTTGTTCTGTCCTTTGTCTTCTCTGTGCTCTATCTCTAGTCCGCAGTGGCCCAGTCCCATCCCCGCCGTCCTAGTGAATCAGTGGTCCTTGGGGTTAGTGGTGTCGTGTGGTGGCCTTCCTCTGTGACGTCACCCCTCTACTGCTTCTGCTGTCTGTGAACCTTCCGTTTCACCTTTTAAAATTCCTGCTGTTGCTTTGCTGGTGTATATTGTCCCCACCTCTCCTCGCTTTCCCTTCCCCTCTCCTGTCCCCTTTCCCTTCCTCGTCTTTCCCTCCCCCCTTCTCCAAAATCTTTTTCATTCTCAGAGATAAAAAAAAAAAAAGACTCTTAACTAGCTCAAGGTTAATGGAGCCATTTTTCCCACGTGGAATTCTGGGCATGACTCTTTCCTCTGGAGCGCAACTCAGAGCACTGAAGAGTAATGCTCAGGCGTAGGAAATAAATTGATGCCGTGTAGCCTCCGTTGTTAACATCCCCAGAGTCCCTTGTGCTCTGCCTGTAAGCAGTGGGTGCTTTTCTTTGGTTTCCCTCCAGGTTGGCCGATGGAGCAATATATAAAGCAATTACCAGTGAGACAGAAAATTATTTCAGAGGTCAACCAACACTTTTTAAACACAGAAGGGGAAGGTATAATGGAATCTAGAAGTGTCATATGTATTTGTTTATGCGTGCAATGCTACTAGAGTAACTCGGCTGTCTTTTGAATGTCACCGTGTTGAGTGGGTTCCTCTAGGACCTTTTATTCCATGAGTTGGGCCCAAACCACTGTGGAATAATGGCAATATAAAGTCAGCTGCCACAGACTGTAATAGTGAGCTTGGGCGAGGGATTTAATAGGTTTAGAAGGTGAAGGCTAACCGCAAAATTTAAAGACTAATTTTGGAAGCTCTATTCTAGCTATCGAACAATCAGAGGAACGCACCTATCCGCTACAGAGAACAGCTAGACAGCTGTTGTTGTTTTTTTCTTTTATAAATGTTTCTGTGTTGTGTCAAAATGATTTCTGGTGATTTAAACTAACAGATAATCACAGCTGCTGTCTAAATCCATAGTGTTAAAATTACAAAATGGAAAAAAAAAAACAAAAAAAAACTTCATTACCTGTGAAGACTGTGTCTGTGTTTTTAACTATTCCTTGTACAAATATATGAAAACTTTTATGAGGAGACTGGTGCCAAGTAGCTGAATAATGGGGAAAGGGATGTTCTGTTCATAAAAACCTTAGCAGTGTTACCAACTCTACCGCATACATATATATAAATTAAAACGTTACAAAGCGACAGCCATGGTACCTTTGTTTTGTGTGAAGCTAACCAGACCTAACTTCCTGAGTGCCTGGCTTATTTTGAAACATTTTTTTTTTCATTGACCATTGATAATGCTGCAAATCAGAAATGTACATACTTCATTTACAACAGGGTTCTTTTTATACTTTTGTAGATTCTCATACATGTCACATACATGGTTGTCTTTATGTAACTTAATTTTTTCATCCGCAGGTGCCATTTTCATAATAAACTTCTCTTGGATTTGTTACTATCTGGCATCATTTCTTTTACATGTAACCATCCTAACTAATGACTGCTGGTAGTATTTGTTTAAGCAGGTACCTTGGTCATTACTCTCGATTAAAATCAAAAAAGTAAAAAAGTTAAAAAGATGCATCCATATTTTTGCTAGTTTTGGAAAAAAAAAAAAATACATAGCTTGTGTACTGATGAGGCTGACAAGGCACAGATTAAGATGCTAATCCAAATACTACACCAAACTTGCAACCATCCTAAATTTTCAGCTACCCCAACTCATTGTCATCCTGAGCATTACTATGCACATTATCAGAGCTGAACGAAGGGCCTGCAACATTAACCACTATGGAAGTGTGCATTTTTTTTATTAATGCACAGTAAGTGATGACAGTTTTCATACATTAATCATTTAAAATGCGCTCGATATTTTCATCTCTTACAAGCTATAATGTTTAACCAACTATTCCATTGCTTATATCTTCTCTTTATACTAAATATGTATTGTCATTCTCCGGACAAGCAGAGTAAGTCATGGCTGTGCTGTGTGATTGGTGGGTCAGCCTGCAGCCTGTCACGGTTTAAGGCAGGTCAGCTGGCTAACTCATAAAAAGAAAGAAAACTTCAGTGCTACCCCAGAGTTGAGGAAATAGATGGGTCACCTGTTAAGTCTGTGCTGTCCAGAAAATAAAGAGACATGAATGACTTAAACTGAAAGAAAAGGCAAATGCTTTGTCCAAAAGCTACCAACTACAGTAAACCTCATTCCCTAGCTTCAGTCTTCAGTGACACTTGCCAATTTGAGGGCACTTTTTATTAACAGAGGGTTGCTTCAGACCAGTGGATTTACAAATGTGTTTATGGTTATAGGGCCCTAGATTTCTTTTTATGGGTCTTTGAAATAGGGAAAGGGTGATTGAGAACACAGAATCGGGTTCTCCCAACTGCTTTTCCAAAATTTTTCATCCCCTTTTGCTCTTGAGAAGAGTATGGTATACCAAGGTTTAGAAGTAAAAATGCATCAAGCTAGAAACTCAATCCTGAGTGTTGAAACCAGATCACCCAAGGCTTGGCCTACAGGCATTAATGGAGCTGGCTCCTAGAGGGGGTCCCCAGAGCTTTGCATAGAGTGGAGGCTCTGCAAAGGCAGAAGGGCAGTTGTATGAGTGTGGGATTCGGCTGACCCCTGGTGGCTGCATGACAGTGTTGGTCAGCCATAACACTGTACTTCAGCCCTGTGATCTAGATGCGGTGGCAGTGCGGCTGAGGACAGCCAGGCAGGGTGGTGGGTGAATTGAAATTCTCAATATGTTTGGAGCTTCTGCAGGAGCAGTGGTAGAAATCCTAGATTCTTCCCCAAGTTCAAGCCTCCCTTAACATCGACAAGCTCCCTGTCCTTTATTTGTTCCCATCAATGCTAAAATATGTCACTAATGAAATAAAGAACATCTCTCAGCCAGAAAGATGTTCTGCGCTCAGACCCACTGACTATTGTGAAGCCCTGGTCACGGGCGCAGCCCGAGGCTTGCAGTCAGGCCACGCCCCAAGCTCCCCCCAGGACCAGGACCTCTCCTTGCCAGGCTGGCAGCAAGTCAATCTGTCAAAGCTCCAGTTTGTAGGTGATGGACAGAAAAAGGATCACTGGCCAGCTCTCTGCACCTTTTCTCCTTCCCAGCCAATACCTATATTTGTTTATTTGGCAAAGGGGACCAAGATGAAAGACAAGCAGTGGGCAGGACAAGAGGGGAGATATGCACTCAGTGGAGCACAAAGAAAATGGTTTCGGTCCTTGTGGACTGTAATCCTTGCCCATCTCCGCTTACTCCTAGATGAAGTCTAGTTATGTTAAGCTTATTTAAAACAATTTACAGTCACCTTGGCCTATGCA